CGAGCCGTGACGCGGACTCGAACAGCCAAGCTGAGAGCGACTGCAGGAAGACTATAGGAAAGGCTCATTAGCCGCAGACAGTTGACAGGACAAAGCTGGATTGTTCTTTCCCCTCTGCTCAGCCTCAATGTCGACCCCCGTATCACCCTTTAGTCCGCCATCATCCGTCGTCCACGAATTAAGGATCTTGCTTCTCGGGCTCGTCAACCGGCAATCCAAATCAGGTAAGAGACATTGTCATCATCGTTCGCTACCCATGTTCTTCGTATGCCTTTCTCTTCTTCTCGTTGGTATCACAGCTCACATCACTAATCACGGCCTGGCCATTCACTCTCGTTTCTCTCTCGCACTCTTCCATCCTATGCCATCGGTGCGACACCAAGGCAGCCTTTCACGTACAAAAATAGCAGCGGCTTTGTTCCGTGCTCGCACGACCTTTTTCTGTTTCTCCTTGTTCGCTCTCGTATGCTCGTCGTCGTTGCTTGCTCTTGTTTTTCGATTCTCTTACGTTCATCTCTTTTTCCGCCCAGACGATCCTTTCAGTGCGACCTCTTTATAAGCGATACGACAAATGCTCTCTATCGCGCGCTCCGAAGCGTCACCGACTGCCGAACGTTGGATGGACGAGCGCAGGGAAGAGTAATTCGATTCCTCTTAGTGGCGAGTAAAATCCGTGTAATCAGAGTCATTTGTATCGAAGAGTTCATCGTAGAGGTTTTCAAGATCTTGAAAATTAGTTTGGCATGTTCAAGCAAGCTGCGATACTGTGTCGCCTGTATTAAGTCGTTGAGCTTTCGTTGAACTTTCCATTCGGGTGATCAAAAATGTTTTCACTGCGTATACAGCAAATGATAAGCGAAAATTGTTTCGAAAAGATAACACGAAGCGTGACAATGAAATTTCGGTAATAATCTTATTTCTTTAAAAAGAAAAAAAAGTGAATTACTAGAAATGCAACAAAGAAATATCAACAATCAATTGGACGTTAGCAAATGTATTCGTATGACATTGAAAGAAAAAATGTTTAAATAAGACGAGACAAATTTGACGACAAATTGCAGGGAAAAAAGAGGATCGTAGAAATTTACATCTCATTAGAATTCGCACAAATCGATTGATTCCTTTCGATGTACTTATACGCCGTTCATTTCGTCATTTCAAAGAGCTCACGTACTATATCGCGATTAAAATGTAAATCCACGCGCCGACACCGGGCAGTCGATAAAGCGTCGTGATTTGCATTGTCGATAAGCGTAAATGAACAATCCCGATCGTTTCCGATTCAGTTAAAAAATTGTTTCGCATAATTAGCACGCGATTCGGGCGAACGCTATCTGCCCGACTTCTCGGTTAATACAAGCCCGGCATTAGCATGCGCTCATTACGCATTAAAATCAGTCGCTATCGCGTTGTGATTGAATTTCACAGGTCCGACGTGAGCGAGTTTATTAACAGACATGCATGCACGATCCATCACTACCATTAAATGCAGTGTGTTGACACTAGACGTTCGAATGTAGTTATTTTTATTCAGTCACGCTTTTCTCTTTGTTGCTTTATTCTTAATTTTAGAATACTAATTAACAATAATATTTATTAAAAACACGTGCACAAGAAATCGTATGCAATTGACAGAATTAACCATTAACAGAATTCTAAGTAGAATAAGGTTTTCAGAATTATAATATTAAATACATTTCTGAGAATTATCTAGACAGTTTCGCGCCAGTCGAACGTTGGCCCCGTTCAAACGTTCTTTCCGGGAACAATTCATTTTCGAGAAACAACCGCCGTTTGAGATCGACGTAAGCGCTTTATTTGTCTCCCGTTCGGTGTCCTCGAAAGAGGATCGAGGCGGATCTGTCACGCTGAAGCGTGACAAAACGACCAGTGCCGGGAATCGGTCGCGGTTTCAGACGTGATGAATATACAAGCGGAGACAGCTTTCACGGCTATGGAATGTCGAACGTGGGTGAAAAAAATGTGTTGCGCTATTTCCGAACATTCGTCGATTGTTTTTTTTTTATCTCTCGTTAACAATCGATATTACGTTGCTTTCTATCACGCATTGTAATTTGTCGGTTTTATATTTATTCGACGATATTAGCTTTTAATTAATTAGATTCAACGTTTGTCACTTGACGTTTACATAACTGACACTTTTCATATTATCGATAATTTCTTTTTTTAGCTTGTGGACATCTCGGTTTGTTAATATGAAACATTTTAACGTTGGAACTACCAAAGTTGTGAAAGCGAGCGATTTCAAATTCTTTCTCTTTATAATTATGTAAGAACGTAATATTTATAATTATATAAGAATATATAAGAAGAGAAAGAGAAAATATATAGATAATTTTAACAAAATTAATATCAACTTTTATTTAGATTTATTCAGATGGAAACGCAACTCTCTCTCCCTATTTTATTTTCAGCATACAATTTTAACTATAACTATTTATACAGATTATACTTAAAACTTAAGCATATGCTAATTCTATTTTTACTTAGCACAGATGACTTTCTGCCTAGATATTAATAAAGGATGTAAACAAATCAATCAAATTCGTAGACATGTCTGAACTACGAGATAGAAAGTGAGCTCAGTGACAAATAATGCCTATGGAAAATAACTGTCAGAGAGAAATATGAACACTGTGTTGACTCAGAATTAACGGATGACTAATTATCTGACAAAAGGTCGGGGAACTTAATGCTATATTTCAAATATTTTTTGATGAAATGAGAATAAATTTGAGGACCTACTTTTGAATATAAAAGTAGCCTTACACTATAAAAAATAATTCATATTAGCATTTTTGATTATATCGTTATTGATATAAAACTAAATATCATAGTATAATATATATAATGTAGTATAAATCATAATAATACAGCAACTATTTTATTATTTCCATTATTTGCATATTACTAGTAGACGATTAAGGAATAATAGCGTAATGTATCAATAATCTTTTTCAGATAAATGACTTAGTTTTTATGTATCATAACTCATCGTAACATGAATGTATCCCATCGTAAGGGCGATTTCACTTTTGCAATAAGAAACAGAAGATGTTTTGTGTGACATCGCATATGCCAGGTACCGGAATCCATTGTGCCACTTGTTGCAGTTTTGAAATAACTTTCTTCTCAGAGAAACAGAGGACAGCGACATAATTCAATTTACCTATAATAAATTGTATTTCAAAATATACAATTAAGAAAAGAATTGTAACGCTATCTGTCAGCGATTAATTTATATTTCAATTTATAACATATCGAAGTGATTTCGCTTTTACCTCGTGTTAAAGTTTATATTCAGTCATGGTGGAACGTTAATATAGATCATATTAATAACCTTCCACACGTTGAACCATGCATACATTAATAAAATTTGCGCAAATATATGCCAGCTGTGACTGCGACGATTAAATCGCCAACATTATTTATTGAACAGGTTTCCTACGATTAATTACATTAAACCGGACTTACAGGATTAAAATCCGCTTGATATATATGATTCATTATATTTTGTTCGTTATGCAATTTAAAAAAAAAAAGATATATTTAAGATGTTTACCCAGTAAATGTTTGTCATTATGTTCTATTCTAGGTAAACTTTTTAACTAAGAAGCGAACGTTATACAAAGATCATTTGAAGTTTTATTAGAAGCTTGTTAAAGTATCAAAGAATCAATTAAAAAATGAAAAATTCGAACGTTCTTTAATTAACTACATAACATTCTTCTTTGCAATTAAACATTACATTTGCAGAACATTTCAATCCTAACGAGACATATGCGATGAATTAAAAAAAAAAAAACTCAACTAAAACACATACAAATGACTAAATAACGACGAACGAAAAGCTGAAAAAAGCTGGACGTAGATCGAAATTAATGGAAAGCGAACACGAGGGAGAAGAACGATCTACAATTCGTTTTCGTCCACATGTGTCAGGTCGGGCCAAAACGCAACCCCGCCGTTACGGCGTCTCGGCTGATTTATCGAAATTTCACGTCGAATTGGCTCGCACGGGGATCAACCAACAGTGAATCGGAGGACAGACCGAAAAGAACGTGGCTGTTAGTCGGCCGGCTCATAATTTGTTCACGGTTATTTTTAGGCGAGTCTCAATCTCGTCGTGTCGACACGAATGAGAGTGACTCCTCGGCGCCAGTGGTACTGTCAGTCGTAACAGTGACAACGAGACCGACCGTTCGATGCTGGAACGAAAATAAATCCCTGGATGGGCTACGAAGGCTCGCAAGAGCCACGGATCCTCGTGGAATTTCGGGACACGTGTGCAAACACTGCGGCAAAGCTCGTTATTGTTCGCCAGCTAGAATTCCCGCGGTTTTATTCATCGACGATTTCGCGAACAACGCTGCCTTTATCCTGTTCTGGATTTCCCGTCAACGAACGCTTAAAACGATTTCTGCGAATGGCTACGGTTTACGTGGAAATGTACTGCTATATCCAGGATAGAAATTGTAAATTAATAGAATACGAAGAAATTTTTATACACTTAAATTTACGATTTGGGAAAGTTATCATTTTCATAAATTTAACCTTGCGATTCGGAAGTTACGGTTTTTGTAGATTTAACTTTACAATTTGGATAGAACCTTCGTTGTTTAAATTCGAATTCTTCGATACAAAAAGTGTACAGAGATAACAAATGATACATTGGTGATACAATGATGTACAAACGATACTGCCAAAGCTAAGAAACGATAAATAATCATAAAAACCCCAAAACTGTATAACATTGAACGTATATTACTTTCAAGCATTTATGGTATCCAACAAGTTAGGAAAAAACGACGTACATATAACAACAAATACGTATAAACAAATAAGTAATTCATATCATCCGAACATATTAGAAATTAACAAGGAAAAAGTGTGAGATTAGTAAATAATTGAAAAAATATTATATTTGTATTGTTTGCCATATGCGTTACCCAATTTATGATATGCCTTGCTATACTCCATCGTTGCATCGTTATATTATGATCTATTTATAACAATAATCGGCACAGATTTGTTTCTCGCGATATGACTTTCTCTTTTCGTAAATAGATAAAAGCCGGATTATAAAAAGTAAATTTCACATTATTTTCAGAGAAACTAATACAATCAATTACAATTAAATAGAATCAATTAAATAAAGAAACTAAGATCGTCAGCGATCCTCGTAATTAAATAAAGAATTCAGGTTAAAATAATTGCTACTGTCTACACATATATATCTAATATCTGAAATGATTATTATCTATAGTAGTTAGCAAATTAATTTTCATACCATCTATAGGATCAGTAAGCTGGAAATCATGAATCGCAATTCAATACGGCTCATTACATACATGGTTACGAGTACCGATAATTATTAATTATAATATTGGTAATTAATCTAACGCTCGTAATTATCGAATTATTTAAGCATTTCACAAAACCCAACATACAGACATACGTAGAATTAGCTTACGGACATCAATTATGTTGTATTTTATTAATTCTAAAAATGAAATGGAAATTATAATTATCGGGCTACCTTCATTCAGTTTCCTTTTCAAGTAACAATTCCTACAAGCCAGTTTTATCTAAAATTCAACCTGTTCTTTGGATAGTTTTAGAACCCTATAATTTAATCTGTTAAAAGTTTGATAATGGTCGAATATAATCTTCCATTGCTTCGAACAAATTCAGGTTCCTTGCTAAAAAAATGTTAACCTCATTGAGATGTCGTAATACCAATTCCGTTATTTCTATGCTATTTGATTATCTAAATCACAACATAAGCATTGCCTATGATTTGCACACAACATCGTCATACTTGTTACGAATTTCCATTTTTACCGAATTAAATTACAATAGATCCACGCTAAGTCGCGTGCAGCAGCACAATAAACGCAGCTCCTCGTAGATATTTTCTATTTCCAGGCAGAATACCGTACAATATTTCGAACAAGACTATGACACAATGGCGTATTCAGATAATAGAAACACATTTATAATAGAAACTTGCAGCTGTATTATCTGATTTTCGACAATGACATGTTTTCCTACCCTTCGTCCGCTTCACGCTCGTAAAACGCAAACAAGTGTAAACGACGCTGCACGCAGAAAGCGTGCGGTTCGAAACTCTCATCGAACGAGAGACCAGTAGAACGTATCGCGTGATAACGCTTTAACCGTGCTATTTCGCGTAACGCCGACAAATTTCACGCGAACGCATCCCGATAATCTTATCTGCGCGACACCAGATACGAAACGTGTCCCACGACGAGTAGATTCCGTTAAATTACGAGAGCACCAAAAGAAGCTACGTCTTGGGCAGAAATAGACACGATATCGGCGGCGTTCGAAGCAAAAACGGAAGAAGAACAAGAAAATACCACGCTACCAAATGGAGAACCCTTGGAAGAGGGTCTGTCACGTGGCGCAAAAAAAGGCCAACTGTTTCTTTCAAGATGAATCGTTCGGGGACACTTGTCGAGTGGAATGTCTTCTCCCGTGAGATTAAACCTTGCCTCACGCTTCTCCTGTTCCGTCACCGCCTCGTCCGAAATAAAGGACGGGAAGCTCGTCCCAGCTGTGATAATGGTCCAGCGGATCTCGTCGATAAATCTCATTGTATTAAGGCTTGCTGCCGCTGTTGCTGTTACTGTTTCTGTTGTCAGACTGAACTTCCCTTAGCCTTCCTGCTACACCTGTCTCTATTCTCGATACGTGCCTCAAGTTATAGTTTCAGTTGACTTAAGTTGTTGCACATGTGCGACTGTCTCATCCCTATGATATGAACGGATTCACTGTTTCGCTGCACGTAATCTAGTTGTAAATTGTAACAATCAATGATCACTTTGTACCTACGTGTACTATTATTTCTCACAGTAATATTAAACAAATATTCAAGCACTGAAGATAATGTAGGAACACGCAGGTTATAGACGTTGCGGACAATATAACAATAATCTCAACAGTATTGCATCTAGTATATCGATACATTGAGATTTCGTCGATTGAAAAATGAGAAAGTTATTCAGCTATCGAGCCTTCTGTAGCAACAAAGACGAGCAATTTAACAAATAAAAAGTACCATTTATACAACAACCAATAAGCCCTTAGGCATTTAATAAGCAAATATTACCATGTCTCAATAAACACAATGCACGAAGTTTACATGCAAACTGCATACGCAGTCGTAGGTATTCTGTATTAATTAACTCTGCCAATTTCTAGATCAAAGCTTTATCAAAGATGGGAACAAAATCTGTTTTCGATATCAACTGTTTCGAACAACATTCTGATTAATTAATTGCACAATAGAATTACATTTCGCCATTGAAGTAGGAAGAGAGAAAAAGGAAAGAAATATCATACGAAACTGATGAAAATACAATCTCACCGAGGAAAACTAATATCTATATTCGCAGACCCAACAAAACAGGAAGATAACCGGCAAATCTATATTGTACGTATATGTTTTATGCACACAAAGAATCTGTCCCATGTGGACAGGGACAAGAAATTCTTTTTCACGAGCATTCTCCGATTTCTTTGGGTGAAACTTTCAGTATGTGGAAACCATCCCAAGGGCTCCGTAAAGATAGAAACTTCACTCCTTCTCCCTAAACAATTGATACACCGGAAGGGAAATTGCCCCCTTTTAAACTTTCTTTCGATACGATTGACCGTGTCGATGATACGACGTGAAAAACTGCCGTGAACTGTCGATATAACAGAAAGAAAAAGAGGGGAGAAAAGGGCAAACGCGTGAATAAATTTGCAAGGGACGTTCGGCCGAAATATTACGATATTAAATATCTATATTTCACGAAAGACACTCGATTTCGCGATAGAATTAATTGTTCGGCAGTTTACGTTTACGTAAAACAGATCAGCGAAATTGGGTTAATACTTTACAGGTAGCTTTATGCAAATTCCTCCGACATAGAAATGTCAAAGCACACCGAATTCGATAATTATCTCGAAATTAATTGAGTTTCTCTTGCGTATATACATCGCAACAAGATACATTATGATAATTGTTTCCTCTGTTAATTGTAGAATGCAATTTCACGTTAGAATATAGAAACGCCGTATCGAACGAAGAAAATATCACCGAGCATCGAATTAAATTTTACGAATTAAATTGTACACATTTAGCAAGTATATTCGCAGTAAATATAATGACAAAATTTGGACACTGATAGATACATAAATGGTAAGCGTCGGAGATAGTTTTATTTTTCGATTTCATTCAATTTTTTTAATAATCTGCGTTAATCGTAATCCTGACAATATTAACGATTTAGTTCCTAATGATAATATTAATAAACGGAAAATATCGACAATAGATTTATATAGCCATCGATGTATTTCTGTATTCTGTTTCAAATGACATTTGAAGCGTATACAATAGAATTAATATCAGAAAATTCAACTAACCATTTGAATCGTTTCAATCACGCTACAACGAAACAAAGCGCCATTATAATGGATTTATACAGACAATACAACAATAAATAGCACATAATGCAATGATATTTTCGCACATACTACGTGTACAAATTTTCATCGTATTTTGTTGAGATTATATAATTTGGAAAATAAAAGAAGTTTTACGTATGAAATAATTCATTTTAATTAATTATTAAAAATCTCTCTTGTCTCGATGTTTCGGCACAGAAATAATGTCTAAAATTATCATTGTTTTCTCTTTGCAGTATATTCATTTCGAAATAAATGGTTTCGTTACCGATCATACAACAACCTTGATCACCCCATTATGTTCACATTTATGCGATCGTGTCTTTAAATTAGTGTAATTTCGCTGATAAAAATCTTTTTTGTATGTAATTTCACTGAAACCATAAATGTAAATATTTTTGTAATCATATCATCGGTGATAAATTTGGAAACTTACACGTATCGTACTTTACACATTGAACAAAATTAATGACTTTCATCGCATAAAATACGAAAATAATAAATATCTTAAGATTATGCTACCTCCTCCCCCCGCTTACATCGCTGCAGTTACTTACTACTCAAAGATACACAAATAACACACTCAAAGTTTAACACATTCACGGCTGATAATTTTAATTTTCTCTTCGAAGAGTTGACTCTTAAACGTCATCCTTTGTATCATTTGTTATCACTAATGCAGACAAATATAAAACATATATTCAACGCATATATTATTCTTATGTGCAATTATAGTTTAATTATCAGGAGACACGATATTATATCATCGGCCAACGTAAAATCATTTTTGTAGAATTTCCTATTTTAATCGAACGCCGAATTAAGTAACAAATAATGTGAATGTTAATATTAATTTCAATCTTAAATGTTACAGATATTTTACGTACATTTAAGTGCAAAACGATATAGCCTGAGATTGCCCATAAAATTATTTTAAATAAAGACGATGTATCGTTTAATTAAACAATCTTTTTTTTTAAATATTTTATTCAAACAATACCCAAGCTTGTCTTCAACAAAGGTTTTATAGCGATCAAAATTCGGCGTGTCGCATTGCAAGTACGCGCTTGCGAGCGGATCTATTTGTGTTTCCAAAAATCCAACGAAACCCAGCCTAGTAGTATATAGTCGATGAAGTGTGAATCGTGGACCAGCACGTCGACGCGAATTAATACGTTGAAAAGATAAAACCGGCTGGACAGGCGTCAATGACGAACGACCAGCGAACAAATTATCCTCGCTGGCTAGCCGGTTCAATTCGTTCTAAACGAAGCTTCCCGCAGCACAAACAAACACGTTAACGTCCTTTAGACTCCAATTAAAGCGAATTGTTTAATTTCGCTGCGAATTTTTCTATTGCTTTTCCCTTGCGTTCATTCTCATGCTGTCATAAAACCATCACAATGATGGGTGACTGAAGATTCAAACAAT